CGCATACGCATGGACGTCATCATCCCCCCCATCCCCCCCATCGTCACCGGCTACAGGAGGGAAACCCCCTCCAACGTGTCAAAATGTCCTGAAAGCGTCCCCAAGCCCAAAGGGTCCAAAAGCCATAGAGAAAGATCCCAATCAAGAGCGCGCGCCTAGAACGTCAAGGGGCGAAGTCCAGAAGCGAAGATCCGTTTCTTCGATCCGCTTTCGCTTACTGGCTCATGCAAGTCGAAATAGCGGCAGGAAGATTCCAAAAGGGACTTTTCAATCCAAGAAACGAGAGAACAACGTCGCTCTTGCAGTAGTCTCTCTCTCTCTCTCTCTGTTCCTCTGCCGGGAATTTTCACTTCAACTGTTGCCCCCCGCTCCCCCGTCACTTCGATCTCACACCGGAACTCGTGCAAAGTGAGGGCGGGGCGATTCGCTTTTTGCGCAGCCGTCAAGACCACATCTTTTCCGGGTGGCAGAGACTCAACGGCGGGAGTGTTCGTCAGAGGCGATTCCCAACCACACCACAGCTACGGCTCGAAGCCTTGAGCACCTGGAAAATGTTTTTATTCTGAGTCGCATGCGGCATATGGAGTCTATGTTCAACCTGGGACCTCTACTCGTATATAGGATCTCCAGGCTCTACCTGTAGGCACTGTAGGCTTCTTTTTAATCGGAGCCATGGGTGGCCTGTGGAGTTCCGGAAGCCCTCGGCAGCCGGGCATCTATGTGGACACCGTCGAAGCTGATGCCGGCTGGATGGCCTTCGAAATCACAGTTGCAGGCTTGGCCGGAGACATTTGTTTACACTGGGGCGTCGGAAAGCACAGCGTGGAGGAGTGGATCGTGCCGGTCGATTCTCAGGCCCGCACAGTCCCAGCCGCCAAACGCGTCCCGGGGGCCCTGCAGACGGCCTTCCCACATCCTCGTCGGAACGAGCGCAAAGTCCGCTTGGAAATCAACAACGATGCAGGATTGAAAGGCTGCCAGTTCGTGCTGCACAAGAAGCCGCATGAGTGGCTTAAAGATGGATCACGAAACTTTATCTTGGATTTTTCCAAAGTGGCTGACAGCAGCAGCTTTCGAGAGCTCGTTGCAACGGCTGCCCAAGAGAACCCATCCGCCAAAGTGTCATGTTACAGCTCGAGTGGCATCGAGGTGGCAATTCTTGCAGTTCTACAAGACGGCGGTTGTGATGTACAGGCAATTGTCCGTTCCGGACGCGATTTGGTGCTCCAGTACGGCCTTGCTGGTGAGGACCGTCGATGGACATCGTCTACCAGACTCAGGTTGCAAAAGATGCAAGGAGACATCGGCATGGGGCAGATGCGACTTGAGAAAGACCTGAACAAGTACTTGATGTTCGTTCTGCACGACCCCAAGGTCGACCAGTGGCTGAAAGATGCTGGCCGAGACTTTGCCTTCAAGCTCCCCGGGAACTTCGGAAGAGGCAAGCCTGCAAAGCCTCAAGGCTTCAGCGGATTCAGTCCAGTGCGGCTCCAAAGACGAGCCTCCAAGCTTTTCAGTACCTTCGTGGAGGAGGTCCAGAGAGCAGAGCCGGATGCGAAAACGAGCTCCTGGACGGTTCCTGGCAATTATGGCCTCGAGGTGGTCGTCTTGGGAACTGCAGCAGAGACTGCGTGTAACGTACATATGCTGGTGCATGCCAAGGTGGCCCTGGTCGTGCAGTACGGCTTAGCTGGAGAAGATCGGGCCTGGAAATTCTCCAAGAGATTGCCGCTGGTACGTGCTGGCACGGATAAATGGGAGGCCTCTTTTGAAATCTCTGCTTGCAGTATGGAGAAGTTCCTGATGTTCGTCTTTCATGACGGTGCCCCGGCTTTTTTGATGGAATAACCGTGTGCATACTGTCAGATGCTGGGCCTTTCGTCCCCGAAGCCTGAACACAACTCTGCTTTGAGCCACGTTGGTTTACTGAGGTGCCGGCAACCGATGGATCAAGCACGGGCCTCATGACTTCGAGTTCGAAATGCCCTTTCACGAGGACTGGGCCATCGAAGAGGCATTGGAGGCAGAAGAGACGCCTATCCAACTCTTCAGCCACTTGAACTCCAGGGAGATCCGCTCGGGTCTCCGCGCGGGCAACGAGAGTGCCAAGAAGCGCTTGAAGGGCATCGACGAGAGCGGTGTCGTTGACAAGAAGATCATCGAGGACGGAAGGAAGGACCGGTCTTTGATGGCTCGTAGCCAGTTTTTGCAACAGAGGCCGTCGCGGCAGTCCCGAGCAGACATCTCCTTCTCTGCCTTCGAACTTCAAGGCGACGCTGGCTCTCTGGACGTTTCCTGTATGTCCCTGGGCGATTCCCACGCGAAAATTGAGGTCAGAGCCTGGCTTCATCCACGCTTGGGTGATTGTGTGATGCATTTTGGCGTTTTCGAGACCCCGCAGTCTAGAGGATGGACATCGGCCACTGAGATCCACTCCGTCGAGTGGCCCTCGGACATGCGCAAGGTTGACAGCCAGGCATGCCAAATCCCTTTATGCAGGATGGAAGATGGAATCCATGCTTTGGACCTTTCCTTGATCGCTCATGTGGAATGTGACGGCAGCGAGACGCTTCGTGTTCCCGACATTGGGGGTTTGGGCTTCGTGCTGAAGCCGGTGACCAAGGATGTTTGGGTGAAACCGAACGACGGAGGTGATGCGGAAGTCCGCTTCTTGCGACAGAAGCCATGGAGGCAATTTGGACCAGCTGAGAACATGGGTTCGGGTGGGGGGCCCTGGGCTTTTGTGGCTGAGAAGATCCTTTCGCAGGAGATGGGGAACCATATGTCTTTGAAGCGGAGATACGAGAATTGTCTTGAATTTTTAGAAGACTTCGAGAAATGCTCGGGCTCTCAGATGCGGAGGCTACAGTCTTGGAGGACTTTGATCCAGATCGACTCCAGCAAGGCCGTGTGGTCCCGAACGCCCTCGATGCCGCTCATCGACGGATCCTATGATGAAGAGGAGTTTTGGAGCTGGATCTTCGTTTGGCAGCGCCTGTCCTTCCAACAGTTCCTAACATGGGAGCGAAACATCAACACACAGCCTCGGCAGCTTGCAGCAGCGATCAACCAGCTCACACAACGCTTGGCAGAGCTTTGGAAGTCCACCCCAAGCTGCCGAATCTGGATTCGCTGGACGCTCTCGACTATGGGCCGCGGGGGATCGGCCGGGCAAAAGATTCGCGACGAGATCCTTGTCATCATGCATGCTCACCACATCAAGGAGATCCACGGAACTTATTACGAGCAGTGGCACCAGAAACTTCACAACAACACCACCCCGGCTGACATCGGCATTTGCCGGGCAATCATCGCCTACCTGAAGAGTGGCGGCGACATTGGCGTCTACTGGAAAGTCTTGGCCGAGCACAGCATCACCAAGGAACAGCTGGGATCCTACAGCCGTCCAATCACCACCGAGCCCTACATGGTTGAAACGGACATTGGCCGACTGATCAGAGACTTCGAGAGGTACCTTGACATCCTGAGGAGTGTGCACGACGCACTGGACTTGAAGCTGGCGGTGGACCATGCCAATGACTGCTTGCCCGGTGAGCTACAAGGCCGGTTGTATGACGTCTGTAATATGGGCGGCACAGGTTTCAGCAGCCTGGACCAGGGTCACGGCAAGTTCATGCGGGTTGCAGCAGCCAGGGACGCTGCCCTGGCTGTCCTGAACGACACGGGCACGGACGCCAACGTCGTCAAGAAGCTGCTGGTCATTGACTACATCTTGGAGACTCAGCAGAGTGTTTTGGTGCAGGGCATGGCTGAGACGAGGTTGCCGCCGCTCGTGGAACAGATGAGAAGTTTGTTGATTGGTTTGATTGGAAACGTGCCCTTAGAGCCGGAGCTCTCAGCTCTCTTGGCGGACTGGAACTCCTTTGCCTCGCAGTGCGCGTCACGGCACAACGAGGATTCCGCACTGCTTCTGAAGGCTTTGGCAGATCGAATCAGCCGGGTCGTTGGAGATCTTTGTGACAAATATCAGAGGATGATGGGTCCGAAAGCTGCATTTCTTGGAGAGGCTGTTGGAATGCCGAGGCGGAACATTGACGTCTTCGTTGATGAGGTCTTGCGTGGCACATCACTCATGGCCATCAGCTTGCTCCTGCAACGGCTGGAGCCGGTTCTGCGAAACATCGCGCAACTGCCACCCTGGCAAATTGTTTCTCCAGTGGAAGAGCCCATTCAAGGAGTGTTCAAGCTCATCGATAAGATGACGGGCGTGCAAGGAGAGATCTTTCAAACACCTACAATCCTGCTCAGCGGGGCCGTCAGCGGCGAGGAGGAAGTTCCTGATGGAGTTCTGGGCGTTCTGGTACGAAGTGCCCAGGAAGCACCCGACATTCTCTCACATTGTGCCGTGAGGGCTCGGAACTTCAAAGTACTCATCGCCACCTGCTTCGACCAAAGCATCTCGGAGCAGCTCGCACAGGTGCGAAGGGGTCGAAGGGGTCGGTCTTTGTGTGCGGGAGTCTTTAAGTTTCTTTCCGGCGGGATTGGATCCTTTGTAAGCTGCCATGCCTGTCTCCGAGGACTTTGCCGAGAAGTGGGTGGAAGTGAGGTGCAGGCCGGATGGCCACCTGACCGTGACCGAAGTTGAGCGGCCGTCTGCGCAGCCGAACGAGCAAGCCGTAAAGGAAGAGAGAGAGCGTCCCATGGTGAGAAAGGTGAAGACCGTGAAAATGAATTTGAGGAACGACCTTGGCTGCTCTTGGTGTGTTCGCCCCGAAGAGATGACTAAGGCGAATGTCGGGTCCAAGAGTCTGAACTTGGCTCTCCTTAAACCAAAGCTGCCCGCTGATTCCGGGATTTTCACACCGCAGGCAATGGCTTTGCCTTTTGGGACGATGCAGAAGTGCTTGACAGCGGAGTGCAACAAGGATGTCTTGCCAGTGCTGGAGAAGGTCTTAGGCCGCTTGCAGCCAGATTCCTCGAACGAGGAGGCACAGGTGATCTTCGAAGAGGCACAGCAATTGGTGGAGTCCATGCACTTCCCTGAGCCGTTGAAGAAGGCTCTCGTTGAAACCATGGAGGGTGTGGGCAGTCGAGACGGCGAGGATCGATTGTTGCAGCTCTTCCGGGAGCAAGATGCCTGGCAAGCCATCAAAGGTGTCTGGTCCTCGATGTTCGCGCTTCGACCCTGGGTGTCTCTGGCCAAAGCCGGGCGCAGCTTTCACGACTTGAACATGGCGGTTTTAGTGCAGGAGCTGGTCGAGGCCAAGTATGCTTTCGTGCTCCACACTGTGAATCCCTTCACCAAGGACAAGGATGAGCTGTACGGAGAGATCGTCGCCGGTAGAGGCGAAACCTTGGTTGGCAACTTCTCTGGCAGAGCTTTGAGTTTCGCAGTGCGACGCGGGGGCGAGCCGAGGGTACTGTCATATCCTTCCAAGAGTGTGGCTTTGCACACGCAGCCGTGTTTGATTTTCAGATCTGATAGCAACGCTGAGGATTTGGAGGGATTTGCCGGGGCGGGGCTCTTCGAATCGGTGTGTGCAGAGGAAGACAAAGGAGGTTTCCAACGTCTTCATCGCCTTGACATTGTGGAAGATGCCACGTACCGGACAAACTTGTTGAAGCGTATTGCCGAGATAGGTTGGGTTACTGAGGAGGCTTTCGATTCGATACCACAAGACATCGAAGGCTGCGTGGATGTCAGAGATCGCATATTTCTTGTGCAGAGCCGGCCACAAGTCTAGGCGAGATTTTCGAAAACAGCAACTCTCGCGGGAGCATCTTATTCTTGGCTTGCCTTCAGGGTTTGTGTGGGCTCAGGAATTAGGCACGTGCACTTAATCAACTTCCTGCAGATCACTCTTGGCTCAAGCATGAGGCGGCCAGGCACATGTCGTACTGTTGCGACATCAACTTGCTGTGGCCAAGCACAAATCCTAAACGAGGCTGAATCAAACAGAATGTCGCACGCACACGGCATGTGGAATGTTGGACCCTGTCACGAAGCTTGACATGAAAGCATCAAGACCTGGGCACCTGCATTCTTCACCGTCGCATGCTTCAGATTTGGCACAGTTCCACGCAAAGTGTAAACTCAAAGCTGCACTACTTGTAGTAGTTGCTTCTGAACTGGCTAGAGAGAGATCAAGGCATGGAAAATTCGGGTCACTGGAGCATGCTGCCTTTTCCAACTACATCGGACGGTCAACAGTGGGCGAAGGAGCCTTCTCAGAGAAATCCATTTCACCAATAAGAAAACATGTATCTCTAATTAAGAGGGTATATAAAGGCACTGTTACATGCGTAGATTTTGATTTTTTTCGGAAAACACTAGCTTCTATAACTTCGATATTAAATTTGCATTAATGTAAACTCCAAAATAATACTTATCATAAATCTAGTGCATAAATTCTATATATATGGCATTAATTTTAATATATCTAAATTACGTCTTTGTAATAGCTATTCTTGATATATTTCACGAGAGCAATATAGTTATATTTTCGGTTTCTAGATTTCTATTATATATAAATAAAATATAAAATATATTTTGAAATTTTCTTATTCTTATAATAAATTAAAAATCTGTATATTAGTAATAAAAGAAATAATTTTATTTAAAAAATATATGATTTTTTCTATTAGAATTGGAATAATATTTGCATATAATAATAGCAATATTCTAATGGAATTATTAGGGCAATCGATAGTATAAATTATAGTTCCGAAGAGAAAATTGGTCATTAAATTATTTATTGAGATCTTTATAAATTCTTCGGCTTATTGATTTTTTTATTCTTAATGGTATGAGTCGTTGTTTTTTGTTTGTGCTAGTGGAAAATACTCGGGGGAAATTTCTTTAAGAGGTCGTTGAGTTTTCGTGAGTAAATGAGAGAAGGTCTTTTAAGATGAGGATTTGCGGTATTTTTTTTTCTCGAGAAGGGATTGTTAAATTTTAAAGTCGTATTATGTTGTATTTTTATAAATAAGTCGTTTCAATATTATTTGAACGTGTTGGAAATATATGAATATTAAATAAGTGTAGGGTTTGGTAGTCGTTACCGGGATATAATTCGAAGTTTATATTTCTTATATTTATATGATGAATTGTTGTTAGAAAATATTTGTTAATTATCGAATGAATTGGTAGACTACCCGCTTTGAGTAGCTTTTGGTATGCTTGGGTATTTGTTACGCGGCGACGCAGTCCATATTTTTTTTGTTTTCATTTTACTGAGGGAGCTGTGTGCGGTTGCTTGCATTCGTACTTCTTTCTGTTGTTTCTATAAGTAGTGTAGTTAACGTTCCCGAGCGATGCTCCAATTCTTCTATATTCTATTTCTCGAAATTCAATTATTATCATGAATTTTTATATATGACTGGATAAGGTGGGGAAGCATTTTACCGTGGCACTATGAAAGCAAATTAAGATATCTTTACTAGTATGGGCGACGAATTGTGTCGTTGGTGGCGTAAATCGTGGAATCCCGCAAGATAGTATGTGCAAATATTCTGATGGTATTGCGAAGTACTCCCACTCCTAAGTCCCAGAAGAATCGTATAGCGGCGGAGCTAAATCAAACATATTTTCTGGATCTCAGCCCACATTGGTGGGAAGCATCCGGAGGAATCATATCATCGAGCGTCTACTTGGGGATTCGTGATCTCATTGATTCGCTGTTTATTGCGATGCCACTGATATGTTCCTTGTATGGATCATCTGGTTGCAGAATATGCATGGGTGGACTCTGAAAATTTTGGATAATGCGAAGATATCGCGCAAAAGCCTCCAAAATTCCCGAATTTTTTTTGATGGATCCCAGATACCAATACTTAGTATTTCTATGCACACTTGTGGGGGCGGAATATGGTGACTCTGGTATTGAAGCGCCCAGGCTGGTGAAGCCGAAGCAGAGGAAATCTTTCTTTTAAAGATTGTCTCATGTCGTTCATTCTGGGATCATATGGCTTGCAACGTGAGTTGATTCAAAATAAAATAAATAGAATCAGATAGATAATGAGTGCACTTATCTAATCTTGAGGCAAGAAATTCACGAAAAAAATATATTTATAAGACGATGAATGTTTTTTGGTCATATACCCATAAGATATATTGGAAAATATATTACATCTCGGGGGCCGTTCTTCGCCTGTCCCCGGACGTGTGCACTTGCAGAATGTTGCAAAAACGAACGGCCACACGCAGGTTTTGAGATGAGTTGTTCACTTCTGGGGGAATGTGCGCGGGAGGTCTGCCCTTGTGGGAACGACAAATACAAGGATTGTATGCGGCTTTGGGGCCCTCATGGGAGTCGCTTGAAGATCTATGCTCTGAGGGCGGATTTGGCGCTGCATGGAAGGCCCTGGGACCTTCAAGATATATATCAAGATTAAGGCAAGGTGCGTACATCTCGGGGTCGTTCTTCACCCGTCCCCGGACGTGTGTACTTGCAGAATGTTGCAAAAAAAAATAGCAGCACGCGAGTTATTCACTTCTGGGGGAATGGGTGCGGGAGGTATGCCCTTGCTTGAACGGCAAATACGAGGATTGCACGCGGGCTTGGGGTCCTCACGGGAGTCGCTTGAAAATTTATGCTCGGTATGCGGGGTGGGCGCTGTATGGGAGGCCATGAGATCCCTCAAGATATATATCAAGATCAAGCTAAAGTGCGTGCATCTCGGGGGACCGTTCTTTCACCCGTCCCCGGAGGTCTGCACTTGCAGAATCTTGCAAAAACGAACAGCAGCACGCAGATTTTGAACGGGAGGTGCGTCGATATCGGAACACCAAATGTAACGACTTTGTAGCGACCCCCCATATTGTGTGCGTACAGATAAAGGAAGCATCCAGAAAGACGATGTGCAATACTTTCTGCGCGTAGGAATATCCTCAGGATTCGTCAAATATTTTTATTGAAATATAAAAGCTCATTTCTATTAATACGAAGATGATGGGGAGGCATCGGATCTGAATTGATTTTTATCTAATCTCCTTTAGGGATGAATCGGTCTCGCAACTAGAGAAAAAAGATTGACCGAATCCATCTTCTTATAGATCCCTTATATCGAATAATAATGACCCTTATAATCCATTATCGGCATATTATCTTTAGTCTATCATGCCCATAAATGAATAGAAAAGAAATATTATATTGAGAAAACAAAATAGAAAAAAATATAATCTTCGATTGGATCTCTAGATCTCTGAATTTAACGCCATCAAGATAAGGAAATAACTCGGATCCGAAGACCCCACCGCAAGATATAGAGATAAGCGACGACCAATTCAAATCTAATTGGGATATGGAGCTCCCAGGGGCAACCTCTACGAGAATTAAAAATAAAGTCCTCCATAAAGAGATTTTCTTTAATTGCCGAATTCTAAAGATAAAGTGCGATATATTTTAGAAATCATTATAGGAAAGAGCTCCGATTTCCTAGGAGAATCTAATAATTATATCTAATTTTGAAAAAGAAATCTCTAAAAAATAGAATAAAAATTTCAATTATTTAAGATATATGATAAGATAAGAAAAGAAAAGAAATGAATAAATTGAATAAATTCAATTTTATTATTAGATTTCTTATATTTATTCTTCTTATTTCAATTTGAATATTATCGGTAAGATATTTCGCCAAATTCTAATTCATATTGCTCCTTTTGGATATCATGGAGATCCGATGTAGAATTCGATCAGGCCAATAAATGCTCTGTGGGGTGAAACGTGTTGCAATTGGTGTAGTACCGTTATTCAGGTTTTGTTTAGTGGTTTGGCTTGATCAGGTCAGATTTCTCATGTTGTATGGAGATTAGGGTCATTAAGTAATAATTGTCCTTCAAGTTGTAGAGATTACAAGACAGTGTTTGGGAATGACGTCGCGCAACTCACATTCCGATGCCGAACACCTTGGAAAGGGAATGCAGATGCCCTCTGGCCGTATGCCATTCGGACCCGGCTAGTTTCATTTGCAACAACTATTCTCGCTGCGCTGGCCTGAACCACACAGATCAGGGCCTTGTTCTCCCACCTGGCTGAATACAGTTACTGGTGCATCAGTCTGAAGCACGATACAGCGAAACATACGTGCCACTTGGCGCGGCCTGTAAGTGGTCGCGGCGTCTGACTCCGGATCCCAGAATGTGGATGAACTGCAAGAGAGCATAGCAGCATATCTTTTGTGAAGGCATTCGGCACTACTTCATGGGCCTCGTGTGAAAGCCTGCGCCCTTCTTCTCCATCAGACTAATGTTCACAATGTATCTGAGGCGAGGTGCAACAAAACAAGCCTGCAAGACGACAAGCCGAGCCGAGCCGGCTTGAGCTCGACGCTTGAAGTTGCCACTGAGCTCCTGCATCTTCTCCAGAACCACTTGCCTTGGAAGGTCGAGAAGAGGTCGAGAAGAGAGAGAACGCTCCACGCCCTGGACTCACTCGGACTAGGCCAGGCGGGCCCCCGGCCCCAAGGAGTTGCACCACTCCTCCACCTGCTTCGGGTTGTAATCCTTCACGGGACCCAGCACCTCTTCGATGCATTGGGGTAACCGGACGTTCACCTCAAGAGATCTCAAAAATCGACACGGATCGCACAGCCGCAGTCAGACATGCATGCTCTTCAGCCTCGTCCTTAATCCGCGAAAACGACGTGATGCTGTCCTGGGACTGTTTAGCCCTGCTTGCTATCAAGACATCAAGGTGACCGGCCTGGCTGGGCATCGCACGTGGACGGGACTAGAGTGATTACAGTCTGGGCGGTCTGCGTGCTAGTGCTAGGCGGTGCATTGGCTGCTGTTTTTCCATGTGTTCAGCGCCTGTGCGACTTGCGGCAGGTAGCGGGCAGAGAGCTTCAAACTGCTTTTGTCTGGGAAGCTTCGACCCGAGCCAGGGACCACTCCGCTCGAGCCGACAATAAGCAGAAAAGAACGTGTAGCAGCTAGTCACTTGGGTTGGCATCACGGGAAACACTACTCCGACACAGCTCCAACCCGACTCCGATCGGCATTGCGACGCATCGGCCTCCTGCTTCATCATCCAATCCCGGACACGTCAGGAAGCCCGAAAAGCCGAAACGAAACCCCGGAACCGCACAGCCACGAACCGAACCACGACGAAGCGCGAATCGAACCGAACTGTTTCACAAACCGAAGCACAACCGCATTTTGTCATGGCCTGAGGGTGCCAACTTGAACCTCAAAGAATGCATTCAGGATGTGCTCTCAAGCTGTCGGAGTCCAAAGGCTCGATACTCTTGCAAACAAGATAGGAGTGTCATACAATTGCTTAGTTGACGATTGTGGCAGCGCCCATCCGGGTCTTGAGGCTTTCTATACCCGTGAACCCCAACCGATAAATCTTAACTGTCCACCCTGGCCTTCAACCCTGAGCCCGCTTCCACTGCAGAAGCGGCCTTCGGAGTAGCGAGGCTCAGGATCTCATTACACAGAGCTAACTTACTGACCAGAAGCCCCCCCTGATCCTTCATACTGATGCTGTGCAGAAACAGGAGACTGGCGAAGAAACAGCAGTTCAGAGCAATACAAGAATTAGGCTTGTCTTACGGTCTAGCTTCTTTGCGGCGCCCTACGAACCCGAAAACTTGGCACATGTCGTCTCTCCGTTGGTCGGGTGCCGGGAGGGAGGGAGCAAATGCGCATTTTTACCTGGTGGCTGCAGGGAGGGAGCAAATGTGCGAGTGTTGCCTCTCAGGTAGGGCGCAGGCAAATGCAAAATCTGCCTTGTTTCGGGCCCGCGGTGCCATGCCAAAAACTTGGCCCATTAGGTCTCTCCGTTGGTAGGGTTCAGGGCGCAAGGTTTTCACATCGAGCCAAACAGGCTGCTGATTTCCGGAGGTTTGAATGGAAACAAAGGTCTGCAGAGCAATGCTCAGGAACTGCGACGAACGGCGACGAACCACGAACCGAATCGCTTGCAAACCCGCACGAATCACAAGCGAACCGAACCGCGGGGTCGGCAACGATGCTAGCCGACTTCCGTGCAGATGAGCTTCTAGCCTCTGAAAATAACAGCACGCCGGCCACATCGGATCAGCCATCTGGATCAATGTCTGAGTCTGTTCCCGATACGAGCTCTGCCGAAGTTCCTCTCCGGTTCCAAGCACAACTAGATGCGGAAGAGGCGATGCATTCAACATGGAGACCGCCTCACACTGCGTTGCACTTTACAGGGTTGCAGATGCACAATTGTCACAGAGGCCATTTCCTCAATCTGGAGGCGGCAGGGCGCGATGAGGTTCCCCAAGAGCCTCATCTCGGAGGAGGAGGTGGATGGCTGAACGCTACAGTAGGCCAGTCCACCAAGATTGCTTTCGAAGTCCAGGTCAGGGACGTTGGGGTCCAAGAAAGCTTCAACGATGAATTGCATGATGTAGACGCTGTATGTCACTCTCTGTGTCAACCATGTGTGGTGGTCCCAGACATCACCGAAGGCGAAGGGCACTGCTCTGGGCTCAGGTTTAGGACGTGTGGTTCGCCTTGCCTTTGTCGCGCCATTCGCCAAGCGACAGATCATGCTGGCGCCCTTCAGCATTCCTTTCGAGGCCCCTTTTTTTAGACCCGCATCAAAGGCAATGCTTGCGCCGAAGCTCAGTGGGGCCGCGGGGCCGCTGCCGGGGGCCCAACCTTTGTGTCAAGTGAGTCCAGGACTATGCCCATGCTGGCGAATTCTGGGGCGGCCCCACAACCCGACAGGTTAGCAAGTCAGCCACCATGGGCCAAATCAGAGACTCTTCACATGCCGGGTCAAAGAGTTTCTTGGACCATAGTTGCGGGCCTTGTGCAATCCACTGGAAAGTGGTTCCCGCCGATGATTTTCTCGCTGTGCCGAAAGGCGGGCAAAGACCCCAGTGCCTCCATGCGGCCAAAGCCTTACGGCTGCACAGAATCGACGGATATTGCCATGGCCTTTTAAGAGCTTCCACAGCATGTTGTGCTTGAGGGAAAGGGCAGCCCTGAGAAAAGAAACTGCGAAGCTCAGCGTGGGCCATGGAATGTCTTGGAGAACCCTCTCACGTGTTTTCCGTCACGGGACTTCGCCAGCTTAAAAGCGGCCCTTCGTGTCGAAGCGATGGCCTTTGAAGCGCTTCGACTCTTGGGCTTTGCGTTATCTGCCTATGCACTCCGGATCTCGGCCAGCGCGCGTGGGCCTTAAGGACCCAGGCTTGGTCAACTTAAGGTCTGCTAAGATCTTCCATTGATCGCAGGCCAAACTAAGGGTCCTCAGGGCACCGCAGCGGTGCCGAAGCCTGGGCCCTGGCTTTAATCAAAGCAATTCCAGGAGGAGTCGATCGGCAAGGCCTCAGATCGTATACGTCACGAGGAGTAGGATGGACTTGGACGACTGGGACTCTAGGACTGGGACTCGCTAGGACGAAGGGAAGAGAAGGGAGACATCAGGCTGTCCTGTTTTGGAGTCCTCGGATGTTCTGAGGGCGGAACCGTGGTCTGCGCTTCTCCTGCAGGGTCTGCTTTTCGAAGATACCGCCGTGCTTGTCGACGGAACACCGCGTTCTCCAGCCTCCGCAGTGAAGAGACGAACAATTTACCTTCTGAGCTCAGCAGGAGTGGCCCTCCGAAAGGCCCTGGCAGGTTCGTGGCTGCAGGCCGGCGCCGGGCATCCAAGGCCAGCAAAGCAGCAAGCACCTTGCAGTAGCGGATTTCAGCCTTGAAGGCAAAGCCCGAAAGCCACACGTCTCGTGCTTAATGGCTCGGAGCGACACCTCGATCCGTATAACGGCAGGCAGAATGCTTGCGGAGCTGCAGGTACATATCTAGCAAGGAATCACAAGGCCTTTGGGCTGAGGGCAGACATGATGACAGAGGTATCAGTCATGGAGGCTTCCGGGAGGTTCATCGTAGGGAATTTTTCTGTGATGTTGAGGCTTTGATGTGGACACCGCGGGGCTCAGGCCAAGCGAAGGGGCCCGATGCGTCCGCCAGTGTCGAAGGGTAGCCATCCGGAGGCGTCTTCCTGAAAAAACTGCACAGCCCAGTTCCGAGAACCGACGGATTTCTGCCAAGTCTGAGCTGGTCCTCGGCGCTCGGCGCCTTCTCGTTGGGAGCCGCACGGCGCTTTTCTTCCACGAAGGACTTGATGAGGCCCTGCGTTTATACTCGTAACAACCAGTAACCAGATCAGGTTCTGGGTTCGAAGCTCTGGCTGTCGGCATTATTCCTCCTGCCCAGCCTTCACGACATGTGGATCGTCGTGCGAGAAGGGCAGGGAAGAGAAGCACATCGCGTAGAGCACCATCCCAAGGGACCTTTCAGTTTCAATGCTCCGTACTGTGTGTATGTGTGCTTTGTGTGTATGTATGTTGTATATTTGCATGCTAACCTTCTCCCCATCACATGAAATCTCGACGATTCCAAAAACAATAAATTCCAAAACAAAATCCCAAAGCTCCAGGAACTCCAAAACTTCCAAAAACTGAAAAACTCAAAAGTCCAACAATTACAAAACCTACGGAACCAAGTTGCAGATTTTCGGAATTCCGAAACTTCCAAGACTTGTCCTCAAACTTTTGGAATTTTCGTCAATTGACAGTTTTTGTCATTTTTGAATTTTGGACTTTGTTGCGTTCCGGAAATATATGCCCACAGTGTTTTCTCTCTCTCAGAGATCGCTGTCAGACGCTGAAAATGTGGCGGGAGTTTTGGTTTTTTGATGTTGGACTGTCTGTGAATGCTCGCATAGTCGTTTAATTAGACGTGTTCGACCTGCTTTAACCAACTTATACCTCAGTCGAAATCTAAGTTTGAGCAACGTGTGCTTAGCTGCTAATACTTATAAAACCACGTCGCGGATATTTCAATATCATAGATTAACAGCTGGAAACTGTGCGAGACTGTTGAGTTCCATTCCGGGCCCAACGGATCGGATACCAAGAAATACAACAAAGTCCGATGACACGTGCTAGTCGGTTCAGTGGTAGCTGATACAGCAACACATGTTCTAAAACATGTTCGGTATTTACATGATGCACAGCATTGAATTCGCCTCGGCCCCGGCGGAAGCGGTCAAAGGTTTCCAAAGGGATTCCCTGTTTCCCACCGCGTAATCCCTCCCCCGTGACCCACCCCCGCTTAGCCGGCCGCTGACCCCACCCCGTTAATATGGATTTCGGATTGGCCACTCTCCCCCCGCTTCCCTCGTCTCTTCCTCGCGGCGACAGGCTAGCTTACATCATTCGTGAAGCTGATGCCAAAGCCTGGGAATTCTGCGGCTGTGTCTTGTACTTCGTTGCAAAGCTTGATTCCCTTTCCAACATATGTCAGGTTGTGTACGAGACCAGTGAGAAGTGTGATACGGTTATACAAGAGACGCCTGCGGAATAATGCAGGGAGTGTGCCACCTTTTGCGTGGGATTCTTGTTCAGAGCCTCAACATGACAACAAATACTGACGTAAAAAACATTCTGAAGCAAATGCACTCATTCACTCAAGACCTCACCTGTGTGACCTACCCGTTGCTTTCCGTAACAATGCACCTGCTTCAAGTACAGCTGGACCGAGGCAGACGACGCGAAGCGCTTGACATTTTGCAAACATGTGTAGGTACTGGTACAACACAAAAAAGCAAAATAGGTTTGGCCTGGCAAATACTCGAAACTCTCCTTTTTCAATTTCGTTGGTATGAGCATATTGCTCATAGACATCTGCACACAAGTAAATGCTAAAGCCATTAACATGCAGTGGGTGTTCAACTAATAATCGGTCAGATGTAACAGAATTTTAGCCGAATCTACCGAATGATGATCATCACATGGTGTAAGCTTCATAGCCAACCCAGAGCCAAGTAAAAATTCAATATTCTTTGAAGAGTACTTGCCAATGATGTGTTGACCAGCTAACCTATACATGTTCGATGACTCCTTTGGTGCTTGACTCATGTGTGTGTGTGTTTCTTTTTTCCGAAAATCCCTCTGGGGTTGGGTTCTTGTTTGGCGCTCTAACGCGAGGTTCAAGATATCGGAGCCGAGCTTCAGACGACTACACGTTGGACGGACTTGGACGTGGGTGGTGCAATGACGGGAGGGTAGGTTTGAGACGGTGTCACGGTCGGACGGGAGAGGTCAGACGGCAGGGGCAGACGCGGAGGATGGCTGTGTTGGCGGCAGGAAGGAGGCGGAGGAACGGGTCACAAGGAGGGGAGAGGCCAGACGGCGTTGCATAGAAAGGCAGGCTGGGGAGGTGTGGCCAAGGGGCATGGGATGTCGGGTGTGCGGGCTTGCGCCGGCATGGACAAGGCGCGCGGAGGAGCGTGGACAAGGGGCAGAGCGTGGTATCCGGTGGGTCAGTGAAGCAGCAGCTTTCTGCTGTGCGCTCCGCTCGACCGCAAGAACATGGGTGGCCTTTGCTTCGAACCCGCTCATGACCGCACGATTCTGTAACCATCAACATCCTAACTCAAAGGCTTTCAGTCACACGCCGGCTGAGCTGAGGCTCTCGGTAAACCTCGCGCATCCGAAAACCTATCAAAGATCACACAAGATGACCTCCTCATTCCGACACCAGCCAAAAAAATGGAACCTGACTCACAGCAAGTCACCGCTGGGCCCTGAGACTTGCAACGTCTCGCAGCTGTCCACCGGATTTAATTCATTTAATTCATTTAATTCATTTAATTCGGGGTTGGGGCCGCAGAATTAAATCAATTACATGAATTAAATGCGGACCGCCCCTCCGAGATCCCAGGCCATTTACAGAATTAAATGAATTAAATGATTCAATTGAATTAAATGAATAAATTAAATACTTCATTTATTTCATTTAACTAGGGCCGCGGAATTAGTAGAAATTAAATGAATTGATCAGTTAATTCATTTAATTCATTTAATTCGGGGCTAAGGCCGCGGAATTGATAGAATTAATGAATTAATTAGTTAATCCTGTTAATTCAATTAATTCATTGAATTCATTTAATTTAATTCATTAAATGGCCAAAGAGCTGCCGCCAGGGGGCCGGATTTATTTCATGTAATTCATTTAATTCGGGGCCGGGGCCGCAGAAACAAAAGAATTAAATGAATTAATTAGAAGCTCAGCTGCTCCTTTTTCCTCCTGCTTGGGCGCTGCATTTTGTAGAGAAGGTTCATGGTCTTCCTGCTTGGGCGCGTCACTGTAGAGGATATCATTCAGGGACTCGAGCAATGGGTCATCGTCCGCTAGGGTTTCGCAGATGTTTGTCGAGGGAGGCCCTCCCCCCGTGGTTCTGGATCTCTTGGCTTTCCTTGTTTTCTTGAGCTTCTTTTCCTTTTTCCCACGCTTCCTGCCTCTGTGCTGCTCTTCCATCTCGGGCTTGGCCTCAAGCAAGGGGGGGAGGGGGGAGGGGGGGGGGCGGCTGGGTGGGACGGTACTGGCAGAAGAAGCCGAAGTTGCTGCGGGACTTGGCTGAGCACCTTGGTCAGGCATGGTTTCGGCAGGTTCGTAGGAGAGAGTCCCCTGAGTTACCTTCCAAGAACCTCCGGCAGATCTCGGGAACCTATGGACACCGTCTGCGATCTCGCGGTGCATCTTCGGAGGGCACTTC